AAAAACTCTTTGTTGACTTTCAGCTCTTCGTCCAGAACTAAAGCGACGGAAAATTCTAATAAAAATTCGCTTTCAAAGAATGTTCATAAATCAATTATTTTTCAACGTCTAATATTATTTTTCCTTGCCCAAGCTGGCGTAATAATTCCGGCCTGATGAGGGCTCAGCATGTGACGCACTAAGAGGCCATAGCCTTACTTGTTATCAAAAATACTCACCAGTTCGTAACTACTTCGGCAAATCACTGACGACTTCTCAAGCTAAACCCCACCAATCACAGACGAGAAATTACCCGCGAAGTGTACTTTAGCAGCTACGTGTGATTATGCCGTTGGGTGTAGTTAGGCCGCCACGTGTGCTTATGACGTTGGGTGTAGTTAGGCCGCTACGTGTGCTTATGACGTTGGGTGTAGTTAGGCCGCTACGTGTGTTTATGACGTTGGGTGTAGTTAGGCCGCTAAGTGTGCTTATGACGTTGGGTGTAGTTAGGCCGCTACGTGTGTTTAGGCCGTTGGGTGTAGTTAGGCGGTTACATATACTTAGGACGCTGCGTGTTTTTGAGGACATAATGTACTTTAGCGGATTTTGGTACAACGACCAAGAGGCAGAAGCAAAGCAACGAAGCCACGACGGAAAACCCGCTAGAATTGGCGGCGCTTTCCTCTGTTGGCGATAAGCTTCGGGTGCGACATCCGCTGACCATATATCACCACACTGCTCCTTTAGAGCAACACCGATAAACTCAATGCTTTCCATGGCGTCATCCTGCAGGACTAATTATTTCCATCTGTCAGAGCTACATGCAGAATTCACTTAAATCTATCTGGTAGATCAGGATACATTAACACATGCTATCGATATGGGCTGCAGTTCTCTAGCGACAACTGCAGAATGATAACAGATAAATCCGACCATGACCTAATGGTGGCCACTGAACTCAACTCGCTACCTTTCAGTAAAAATTACACAGCAAAATTGAATATATTAATAACTTTAATGAACCGAATTCAATGAGAATTTGTATATCTTCTTTCATCTGAAATCCACGGTTAAAGCAGGAAGTTTAGAGAACTCAATTGCACTGGAAGACATATATAATTCCTATGGTCTTGGGTTCTTTTAAATCTCTGAAGTCTTGGATTCATGAAATATCAGTTTCTGATTGATGGCAGTTCAATAAGGGTTCACACCGGGAAAATTATTTTATCATTCATAACTTATTTATTACTTTTCTAATTATCCTTATGTAGAATATGCTTCCACTGAACCTTCTGAGCATGATCATCACAGCCATGCTTTCCGAAGAATTTGTTAGAATTTTATTTAAGGTAATTCAGTCAGAGTATTTCACGAAAAGGTGCTCACTAAAACAGCAAAGGTATTTTTCTCCATTAGAAGATTCAGCTTCGGATGAATAGCGCAAACTTTCACTGCCCACGCGAACTTTCTTTTCTTCCTGTGACGTGAGCGCCGCAGTCATAACTTTCAATGCTCGATGTGCGTGTCCTTAGAACTTCAATCCGTGACTGAATCCTCATCAATGATCGCAAGAATTTTTGCAGTTATTTCAGAGTGCAGTTCATTGTAGTTCAGTTTATGCTGTCAAGACAAACTATTACACCAAGTTCTGTCCATTAGTTCGATGCTTGATTTAAATAAAAATACTAATTTAGAACTTCAGTCATTTGGTACGGGGCCTGCTGGCAAGACAAGCCTAGAATTGAAGGTCAAAAACAATGCCAAGATAAACCTGTTATTTGAATTGAAAACGCTTCAAAAGCAAGCTGCATCGTAACATCAAATATTCAGAAATGAAAGCTCATTAAAATAATAAACTCTGGTGTCGTTTGTAAAGAAAGATCTGGACAGCTGGTTACGTGATCGGTAAGAAGAGTTCATCGTAATTGTGAGTAACGATCTCGAAACTTGTTTAAGCTTTAGACGGTTACTTCATTCATTTTTAGAATATGGGATAGCCGGATAGGGCGGGACGCGGGAGCAAACGTAGGAAAAAAAACAGAACAACTACCGTCAATGCCACTAAAGTCGCCATGCTACAGGGAAAAGGAAATAGCCTATTTATTGAAATGGACCCAATATGAACATTTCATTAACATAGGAAAATACTAGAACATTTATGAACATTGCTTAAAGATATTATAATACATTTTTGACATATAATTTGTAATTAGTTTTGAGATTCCAAATCAACATGNTCTAGTTCCAATGAGTAATGAGTTTGCTGCTGTTGGGAAAAAACAGCAAATATTGAGCTGTGAGCAGTTAGATTACACAGATGTTACGGAAATGCAACATGCTGGGATTGGGGCAAATTTTGAGGGGTTTCCATCTTATACTGGTTTGCTAGGACGGGTAACCTTGTTGACTCTGAAACTGTTCTTACTTCTGGGCTGAGGCGGCAAGGCCAACTTCTCCTGCTCTCTCTGCTGAAGCACCTGAGGGAATCATACCTGCCAACCCATTAATCATGATTATTGAGCCTGTACCAGATGATCGTCCTATCACCAAATTTCTTGCAAATGATTTAGCTCTTAGCAAGGCTTTAGCCCAGTCATATTTTGGAACCATAGGGGTCAAGGGGATTCAGAAAAATGTAAGTAAAAATCTATTGATAGTTAGGATGGACAGCCAAGATTCTCAATGCATTACCAAATTTCTCTCTACTAGTCAAATTGGGTCCTGGAAGGCCAAATGCCGACTTCCACTAAACCACACTGTGTCTGCAGGAGTGATAGGACCTTTTGGCTTTTGGGGATGAGACCTCAGAGGAAGAGCTTACACAAGAGTTACAACTAGCCGGATATGACGGTGCAACAGCAGTTCAAATTTACAAAGGCAAAGATAAGGTAAAGACAGCTATGTTTAAGGTGCTTTTTACATCTCAGCATCTACCTACCTGTATCTTGGCTACCAACGATTTAAGGTGGAAGCATTTGTAAGTACGCCTTGGCAGTGCTATAAATGTCAAGGATTCAACCATAATGACAGTGTCAGGTGATCTTCTATCACCCTCTAGGTTATCATATGTCACCCTCTTATAACATGTTCTGTACCCACTTGGTAGAGTCACACTCAGTGATGTCATCCCTGTTAAGGCCTATATATATCTCAATCTGTCCACCGCTCGTCAGTTGTAGTGGTACTGCCTAGCCGTCATCTTGCTAGCCGCTCCTCCGGCACATACTTGTGCTGTACCTGTCAATCATTGTCCTTCTGTACTCACCAAGCTAGTTTATTATTATAATAGTTCTAGCATTAATCGTGTGTTTCACTGTCCTGCCTTAGTCATACTTGGAACAATAAATACCCTGACTCTCAATACAAATCCATCAGGTGGTCGCAGAAACTGACACCTGACAACAGCAACTGTAAAGGCCCCTCTCGCTGTGTAGGTTGCAGGGGAGTGGGGACTACATAATGTTAAAGATTGCCCTTCTTCTAGGAGTCTAGCACCAAAATGCTGCATCTGTAGAGGCACACATAATGCTAACTATGGAGGTTGCCCTCGAATGAAATTTCAGACTTTAGTTGAGAAAGCTTGCTCTATCAAGAAGATGTCCTATAGAGATGCCGTGAAACATGTAAAAGAGACATCAACTATGAGCAGAACCTGTAACACAGCTAGAAACGCATCACTGAGTACATCGCCCAACCCTTCTGCAACCTCCCATCCAGTAACTCAGGTCAATCGCCCTATGAGTTGGCAAACACGAGCTGGCTTTGAAAAAATTTCAGTATCCACACAAACTACTGAAAACATCCTACAGACTCACTCTTCAGTCTCTAAACTGATTGAACTCTTCTCAAAATTGATAAACCTGAACTGATGATTCTGTAGTATCAATTAGCTTGATCAAGATCAATGACTTGATCTTGATCAATGACTTGTTACTTGAATACAATGCCAAGTGTTTACTTATGAAAATGTAATTCTCTACCAATATTTTTTATGATTGATATATACCATACAGTAGACATACTTGAAGGTCACTATTCAGAGTTTGGCAATTGTGTTGCCAAGATCAGGATCCTAAGAGGCTAAGCCCAAAGTATCACCAGCAGTATTGAGGATTTGTTGTCAAAACTGCCTAAGCCTTCAAGATGTCTTACCAAAATAACTTTAATTAGTTATTCAACATGAAATGTGTTGGTAAGATTTTCTGAATACATATATTTTGATGTTGATGTGTCACCAAAGATCTGTAAAAGATCTTTACATATTTGCCCACTCTCTGCTACCTTGCTTGAGGGTTCATGGAGTTGGATTTGAGATCAAGCTAACCTNCTATACCTATATATATATCTTGATTTTTTCTATTGCAGAATTGTGTAGTTAACTTCAATAGAAAATATTATTTGTATTCAAAGAATTTGTTCAGGAAATATCCTGTCATAATGCTGACTTCCACAAATATGTTTAGATTTCTTCTATGTAGAAATTTTAACATTAAACTTTTGCAGCCTGCAAATCAAAGAGCAAATGATTTAGGAATTTCATATTGCCAGCATCATAAAATGTCCAACATTTTTAAAGCCTCAACTTTAACAATTGGCTTTAAGAGCAACAATAGGCATTATTGTAACAGGAATGTCCATGACAAAGTCTCTGCGGACCAGCAACTTATTGCATCACTTAAGGGCAAAATTAAAATGCAAGTAAGTTTTAAGCGAAGATTTATATGGAGTTGGTTATTTGTTATTGATTACAAAATAATAAATTGCAGGGATTTATAGTGATCTTTGAACCATATGTATCCAGTGTATTGTAATTCAGTTTTGTACAAATTATATATATTGTATCTACAATATCCTGTTGAACTATACACACTTCTCCCAGTTACCAAATAATAAGCTAAAGATATTTACCGTCAATAAGTATGATGAGCAAAATTTAGAATAATGAATAAAATTTAAATTGAATAATTTATGTGATGTACAAAGAAAATAGTTATGTAGTAATTATATGATAATTTTGTAAGGGAGAGACAATACAGCAGCTGGAGTCATCAGGCGCACCCGAAACAGACGTCAAGAAAGCAGCGGCCAACCTGCGTTCTCTCATCAAAGTGAGCTCTTCTGCCCAGGGTAATTGTTCTATGTAATAAATATACACATACATAAGTTCTGATCTTGTATAGATATATATTAATAAAACATGTTGACATATTTAGGTATCTAATACACATTCTCAATTAGTTTATTGATGATATTGACATTTTTTGCAGACTGGGTTTCATGATATAATTTATATCATTATCCATTTAATTTCATCTCAGTATACATTATGAAGATTTATCAATATTGAGCTAATTATTTTCATTGGAATCTAAGTTTTAAATCATTACTCTAAAGCGTTTACTCACAATTTAATATGAAGTTAATTGTGAAGATATTGTAAAGATCAAGGCAGATGTGAATAATTTAAATTAAACCTCAGGAATTGGAGGAGCTTTCACTTAAGATGGACCCCGGAGCCGAGTTTGATCGCCAGAAGATGCATAGAGTTGCTGCGGCACAGGATTTCTTTGACATAGCCTTCGAACCTTATGGTGCAGTTGCCGGTAAGTTGACATAGCCTTAATATTATTATAATAAATCCTAATAATAAGCATAATATATTTATTATTCCAGGAGCTAGAGGACTTGACCCTGAAGCTCGACCCGCCCGAGACTTTTGACCGAGCCAAGATGGCCGACCTGGCCAAGCGGAGGTTTTTTTATGACATCTCTTTTGCCATTTATGGTGGCATCACAGGTGGATATTTTTTATCATTTATTTCTTGTTGTTTATCTGCTATTTTAAATTATAATTTTTATATGTTATTTCTTTAATCATTTTATGCTTTTGGTATTTTCTAATAGCTTTTAATTTTAATTTAAATATTATTGATATCTGGTATTAATCTGATTAACATCACAGCTAGCTAGTTTACCATTGTCATCTGTTATTTCTTGAATTATCTCATCATTTTTATAGTAAAAGAATACAAAATTAATAAAAATGCTAGTTAACAAACTTATGTATACTCCCTCAATATTTAAAATAGAACTTTTCATTTAGATCAGTTTGATTTAAAGGCTTTCAAGGGGCACTAATGTAAGCCGTGACCATATAAATTGCTGTACCAGCAGAAATAGTGACTGTAAATTGCCGTAACATTACAAGTAGTGAATGAAAATATCTTTAATGATAAGGAAAATATAATAAAATGAAAGAAATGAATAAATAAAGTAAAAATATCTTATAAGATGAAGGAAATAAATAAATAAAGTAAAAATATCTTATAAGATGAAGGAAATAAATAAATAAAGTGACAATAAGTTATAAGATGACCTTGTCTCATTATATTCCCCATGTTGGCAGGTCAATATGACTTTGGTCCGCTGGGGTGCGACCTGGTCGACCACCTGCTGGCGGAGTGGCACAAGCACTTCGTGCTCCAGGAGCACATGCTTAAAGTGTCATGCTCCATCCTCACTCCGGAGCCTGTGCTCCGGGCCTCCGGGCATGTCGACAAGTTTGCAGACTACATGGTTAAGGTGACAAACTTGGTCCAATAAGTATTCCATAGACGGTTTAGTCTTCATTTGTCAATTTAGTTTTCCGTCGACAGTTTAGTCTTTGTTTATCAGTTCTGTCTTCCATTGTCAATAAATATTCCATGAATTTTCATTATATATTGATTCAAATAACAAAAATTGCTTGCTATTGTCAATTTAAGTGAAAGCAGCTTCAATTTCTTATCAATACGCAATAAACAATCAACAGGAATATGACCATTTCCAGAATTGATAGATAATTGAATGGGGTGCTCAGCTAAATTTGTATAACATTTTAATTGCAGTATCAATGTAATTTTTTTGCATGCAACATCATAATTTTTGATTGGGTGACAATCAACAATGTATATCATGACATTTTTAGCGCATTTTCTCATTTATGGAAAAAATGCACTATTGTGCTCGCCATGTCCGTCCATCCGTGACTTCAAGTTTTCGTCGATGATAAAATGCGCTCTCTGTCACTCACTGCAGTGAGTACTGAGTTATATTTTTATATTATATATATCATATATTAACAATAATGCTTGATGTGTAGGATGTGGTGACGGGCGAGTGCTACCGTCTCGACCATCTCATCAAACTCCACCTGGAGAAGAAGATCTCCAGCAAGAACTTCCCTGAGGGGGAGAAGGCGGCGATCTCCAGCCTGCTGGCCCGCCTTGATGGTCTGGATGTGGTGAGAAGGAGATTATCTCCAGCCTGCTGGCCCGCCTTGATGGCCTGGATGTGGTGAGAAGGAGATTATCTCCAGCCTGCTGGCCCGCCTTGATGGCCTGAATGTGGTGAGAAGGAGATTATCTCCAGCCTGCTGGCCCGCCTTGATGGCCTGGATGTGGTGAGAAGGAGATTATCTCCAGCCTGTGAGTGTGGTGGGGTTAAGATGAGGGTTGTGGTGGTGGGGTTGAGGGTTGTGGTGGTGGGGTTGAGGGCTGTGGTGGTGGGGTTGAGGGTTGTGGTGGTGGGGTTGAGGGAGGTTAGTTGACATAGCCTTCGAGCCTTATGGTGCAGTTGCCAGTTAGTTGACATAGCCTTCAAGCCTTATGGTGCAGTTGCCGGTTAGTTGACATAGCCTTTGAGCCTTATGGCGCATTTGCCGGTTAGTTGGCATAGCCTTTGGGCTGTATGGTGGAGTAGCTGGTTAGTTGACATAGCCTTTTGCCTTATGGTGCAGTTGCCGGTTAGTTGACATAGCCTTTGAGCCTTATGGCACATTTGCCAGTTAGTTGACATAGCCTTTGAGCCTTATGGTGCAATTGCCAGTTAGTTGACATAGCCTTTGAGCCTTATGGTGCAGTTGCCGGTTAGTTGACGTAGCCTTTTAGCCTTATGGCGCATTTGCTGGGTAGTTGACATAGCCTTTGAGCTCGCATTTGCCGGTTAGTTGACTTAGCCTTTGTGCCATATGGTGGAGTTGCCGGTTAGTTGACATAGCCTTTGAGCCTTATGGTGCAGTTTCTGGTTAGTTGACATAGCGTTCAAGCCTTATGGTGCAGTTGCTGGTTAATTGACATAGCCTTTGAGTCTTATGGTGGAGTTGCCAGTTAGTTGACATAGCCTTTGTGCCTTATGGTGGAGTTGCCAGTTAATTGACTTAGCCTTTGAGCCTTATGGTGGCGTTGCCGGTTAGTTTACATAGCCTTTGTGCCATATGGGGGAGCTGCTGGTTAGTTGACATAGCCTTTGAGCCTTGTGGTGCAGTTGCCGGGTAGTTGACATAGCCTTTCAGCCTTATGGTGGAGTTGCCAGTTAGTTGACATAGCCTTTGAGCCTAATGGTGTAGTTGCCAGTTAATTTACTAAACCTTTGAGCCTTATGGTGGAGTTGCCGGTTAGTTGACATAGCCTTCGAGCCTTATGGTGCAGTTGCCAGTTAGTTGACATAGCCTTTGAGCCTTATGGGGGAGTTGCCGGTTAGTTGACATAGCCTTTGTGCTGTATGGTGCAGTTGCCGGTTAGTTGACATGGCCTTTGTGCTGTATGGGGGAGTTGCTGGTTAGTTGACATAGCCTTTAAGCCTTACAGTGGAGTTGCCAGTTAGTTGACATAGCCTTGTTTATTGGAATATTATTTTTATTGAAATTGAAATTTCTGAACATTAGTATTGTTATTTTATTGGTGTAATAGCTATGCAGACCTTTATTGTTTTTTTTTAGCTTCTAATTAAAAATCAACAATGTTTGGATGGGAAGAGAACATGAATTTTTACATGACATAGGAGCTAGAGCTAGACTTTTTGTAATTTAAATGCTACATCTAGAAGTCTCAATTGATGGTGCAGTTTAATAAACTTGGGTATTACTTTTGATTTTCAGTTAGACCTTATGCAAAAGTTTTAGCATTTTCTTACTTTGTCAAAGAATCTATATAAAATCAATGCTAACATATTTAATTGATCCAAACTATAATATAATTCAGATCTTTTCAATGTCATGTTTTCTAAATGAACAGTTTTTAATTTTTATACTACATCCTCAATTCTGATAAAAGTTTTGTGATAAATGGAGTTTGTAAATAAATTATTAAACTCATATTCTAATGCCTCACTATATCACTAGAAGTATGACTAAGAAACTGTACCAGTCGCAATTTAATAACGACAAAATGTCATATATTCTGGAGTTGAGGCAGTTTTAGTTCACATATGTAACAAATTAATTAGAAACGATAACAATAATAATGGTCTCACAGGTCTGTATGACTTCGGTGACCTGGGACAGGGGCTGATGGAGAACCTGCTGCAGGAATGGAAGCGACACTTTGTGCTGCACGACAACATGTTGCGGGTAGCCTGCCCTGTCTTCACGCCTGAAGCCATGCTTAAGGCGTCCGGACACGTTGACAGATTTGCCGACTGTATGGTTAAGGCGAGTATTGTATGAATATATTGTATGACCTGATGAAACTTGTCGACTGTGTGGTTAAGGTGAGTAATGTTGTATGACCTGATGAAACTTGTCGACTGTATGGTTAAGGTGAGTAATGTATGAATATATTGTATGACCTGATGAAACTTGTCAACTGTATGGTTACGGTGAGTATTGTATGAATATATTGTATGACCTGATGAAACTTGTCGGCTGTATGGTTAAGGTGAGTATNTTGTGTGACCCGATGAAACTTGTCGACTGTATGGTTAAGGCAAGTATTGTATGAATATATTGTGTGACCTGATGAAACTTGTCGACTGTATGGTTAACACACTAAGTATGGCACAACTCATTGTACCACTGGTTTGAAATACGCCCTGAATGCAACATAGCTGCACGACAAATACAACGTGATGCTAAATTTTGAAACAATTCATATAATTCTTTGCTGTGCAGGACATGGTTGATTTTTTTGCATGAGCATTAATAATATACAGCATATTTTATGTATTGTATATACCTATTATATATATTTTATATATTGTACCTATATACCTATTATATATATTTTATATTAAGAATAATTGCTTGATGTGTAGGACGTGGTGACGGGCGAGTGCTACCGCCTCGACCATCTCATCAAACTCCACCTGGAGAAGAAGATCTCCAGCAAGAACTTCCCTGAGGGGGAGAAGGCGGCGATCTCCAGCCTGCTGGCCCGCCTTGATGGCCTGGATGTGGTGAGAAGGAGATTATCTCCAGCCTGCTGGCCCGCCTTGATGGCCTGGATGTTGTCTCTTATACACATCTAGATGTGTATAAGAGACAGGCCGGATCCCTTGTGAATCAAGTCACGAAAAGTTCAAGAATCGGCAACAGGCCATGGGCCTATTTCTTCAACGCCGACACTTCTATTCTATTTTATTCTATTCTAATTGATCCAAACTACAATATATTTCATATTTTTTATATGTCATGTTTTCTAAATGAGCAGTTTTAATTTTCATACTAGGTACCTACAGCCTCAATTTTGATGAAAGTTTTATGATATATGGAGTTTGTAAGTATTTTATTTAACTTGTACTCAAATGCCTCACTATATCACTAGATATGACTAAGAAACTGTATCGGTCCCAATTTAATTACAACAAAATGTCATAAAGTTCCCTGCAGAAAAACTTGTAACATACCTGTCCAAAGCTGGCTTCATTGACCAGCTGTAGTAAAAATTACACCCTGCTCTGAACAAAGCACCTATGTCCAAGAAGACTGGTGCTTAAAGATAAATCAAGATAAATCAAGATTAATTTGAATTTTGAACTAGATTAGGGAGTCAAAAAATGAACAGAATTCTGGAAAATCTGCTCTGCCACGACAACAGACAAGAGCCAACTTAGTGAGTCCTGCCTGATGAAGCAATGGATTACCTATACTCTACCTGGTCTACGTCTTCCTGGTCTACTGCTACCTGGTCTACCTCTACCTGGTCTACCATCTTCTTCAGAGCTGCATTTCCTGTACCTACCAAAGCTTGTTTGCAGTTCAACTGAACCTAGTTAGCCTATAGGCCCTATTCTCCTCAGCTCTACATAGCCAAACTGCCACTGAGCTTAATTGCTAATAGTTAAATAAAGGCTTTGCCTAATATTAAAAAGAATTTGCAATCAATTTCGATATTTCCAAGTCCAACTTTGAGTACCTGCCCTAATGCTGCATGATTGGAATTTCCCTACTTATTGCTGAAATTTTACTGCTCCAAGGTGAAATTGTCAATAAATTAAAAATCTAATGAGCCATGGCTCAATCATGAACTTTTGTTTCCAATTATATAGAAGTTTTTTTGTCTTGCAGGAATCTCTGGGCACCAATAATGGAGGTAAAGCTCTAGTTGTGGCCCCTAAGGATAATTATAAATATTGTCTGGACTCTAGAGCCTTGACCCTGACCAGTGTATAGCTGTGTATATACCGTCAAACGGGGTAAAAAGGGACGGTTTTGAGCATTTTTTGTTAATAACTTCTTACCATGAAACGTTTCATAAACAAGTTTGGGCACATTTTAAAGGTCTTTGCAAGGGCTATCATATGGCTGCATGGCATCTCCAAAAAAATTCCATATGCTATTTGCAAGGTGCTAGATGCAATATAAAAGGCTCCTGAATTAATCTGGATATGGGGTAAAAAGGGACACTTGAAATAAAACTAAATTTTAAGCATTTGAAGCATGCAGAGCCTTATGACCTTACTGTATGATGAGTTCAGGACTTCCTAGTCCCCGGTTATGCTGATGCGCCGCCTTTGTCGTACTCCATCACCTAGTCGTCACTAGGCAGGTCACCCCGCCCTTGGATCCCGCTGATGTGCCGCCTTCGTTGTCCCCCCTCTCTGAGTCGTCGCTAGGCAGGTCACCCCACCCTCAGAGTGTACTCATCTATTACTAACAGTACTCTGAAGTCCTCCTCTTCCTTTGGAGATAATTTAAATGTAGAATAAATAAAATTTTCTGTGATTTTTACTTGGTTTTTCTTCATTGATATAATATAACCTTATCCATACATTACTGTATTATTAATGTGATAATAGTGATATTACTGTATCCATGGACATGCCATTGAGCATTGACAACAACCTTGTCCACTGCAAGCTTCATATCAGCAGCCATGTAGCATTTCTTCTGTATCTGTAAATTTACAGGATGGTTTGTAATTTTGCACAATTTTAATCGAGTCAAGTGATTTCACTATAGCAAAAAAGATTGTAAAAAACATACCAGAAACAGGAAGGAATATTTTAGTGACAACCATCGTATTTTTTAGAATTAAATCATAGTTTAGGTTAATTACTTTTCATTCTTTATTCCCCAGTGCTCATTTCTATCTGTGACATTCTATGCACAATTTTGTGATGACTTTTGCAGTAATTTTTTATTAAGTGAAATTTTTTTCACTGAGCAAGGTAAATGTAACCAAAATTCTTTGTTGTTAATTGATTTTTTCATTAACTGGAGCCTTTGCTAACCAAGGTTCTACTGCAAATGCAATTTTAAGGGGTGTCCCTTATTACCCTGGGGGGTGTTCCTTATTACACCGTTTTGCGGAAATGGCCACCATTTTTTCTTGGAATGAGATATGCAAATTCTGTCAATCACATTTTCAAGCCAACACTAGTGTGCAACTTTTATATAAGTAAAATTTTTCAATATGACAAATATTTTTTCTGCTACAGACCTTAGCAGAGGTACTTTTCTGAAATCTCACTTCTCACACTTTTTTTCAGGGATTTTTAGAGGTAATAAATGTATGGTTCCTCAACTTTCTTTATGCTGCATAGATAGTAAAAATGTTGAACTTTACACTACTATTTTTAGTTTTGCAATATTTTAATTAGTTTAGCTGCTACAACATTTCTACAAAATGTTGGAGGACTGTCCCTTATTACCCCGCCCATCCCTTTTTACCCCGTTTGACGGTAAGTTTCACAATAGGTAATTTCTTTGATATAATTTATGGACAGAGAATTGACTGGAAAATCCATGCACTGACCTCTCAGTGACTTGGATGAATATGCCAGGACTTATTTTTTTAAGCTGCTGAGGCTATTTGGGAAAATTTTTTGACAATTCCCTATTAATTAGCATGATCAACTACTGAACTTTTCCGTTATTGAATACAATGCAAGTGTTGACTTTTGAAAATGTAATTTTCTAACAATATTTTTTAATATCCATATATGCCGTAGGTAGTGAGTAAAGTATCCAGGATACCAGCATTATCATACACAAGAAATTGTTTTAAATCTTGAGTAGATGAGGAAATTAAAAATGAACTGATTCTAAAGAATGTCTGGTTTGCACTATTCCAACTTGACCTTGAAAAGGGGTACTGATTGAATCACAAGCTTGATTAGCCAAACCCACTAATTACAGACAAGAAATTGGCTGCTGTCTGTACTTGGCTGTTTTTATATTAGATGGCAGAATAAGCTTGTTTAAACACAGGTGGTTAAAGCCAGAGTATTCAACAATTCAAAGTTTCTGTCTTGAACAATATATATCAGATGACTTTGGTTGATCAAAATGCTGGTTTATGGAAAAAATTATAATATATTATCAATGATTTGAATGTCACATGATATACAACCTTTTTTGAAGCAATATATATGGAACACCCCTGATTGTTGCTCCCACTCCTTTGCTGGGGCTGTTGCTGCAGATAGTTCAGGGTTTGAGGTTGTGGTCAAGGGTGTCATGGAGCCTGTTGAATTCATCACAGGTCTTGAGATGGCTGTTTTATGTACAGAGGCTACTGCATGTATTTAGGCCACTGCATGTAATTGAGGTTGCTATATGTACTTGGGATGCTACATGTACTTAGGCCGCTATGTGTTCTTAGGCCACTATGTGTACTTAGGCCGCTACGTGTACTTAGGCCACTACGTGTACTGAGGCCACTATGTGTTCTTAGGAGGCTATGTTTACTTAGGCCACTACATGTACTTAGGCCGCTATGTTTACTTAGGCCGCTACATGTACTTAGGCTGCTACATGTACTGATGCTGCTATGCTCTAGGACAATTTAAATACATTTCACATAATCAAGAGAATTCATAACATTTCCTAACATTCCAGCAAGAGTTGTGCTAATTTTTGTATTGAATTTGA